AAAAAAGCAAATTTAAGAATAAACTTTTTATTAAAAATTGTTGATTAATTATAATACACCACAGTTATTTTTTATATCTGTCATAAGTTTAACAAATTATTTGTTTAAAATAGTTTTTTTTTTTTTTTATAAAAATGCTAGAGGACCCGTCCAAGCTTTCCCGTGGCTGATACATAGGTAGTACAACTAATATCATCTATATGATTTCTATTATTTAGATTATAACTATTACTTAAGGAGATATCGCATTTTTGGTGGAGCAACTTGTGTTAGTTTACAAAAAAATTAATCAAAAAGCATTTCGTGCGTTAATAAAGCACTGGTTTTTGGGGGAAAACACTCTTGAATTTGGGATGTGCACCAGTGAAATCAATCGAGTTGAGTCGACAGTCAGCCTAGTGAACTGCCTATTATGAAACGGTTCTCTTGCGTGGCAAGACAAAAAATCGGCTGGCAAGGCTATGACATCAGTCTTTTGGGATGCCCGTGGTATACTATTCATCGAATGATTACTGAGCCCGTTTTAATTCATTGCACTGTACATTTGATAGCAGTTCTATTTCACTATTCCCAATATTTAGCAATTTAAGTATTTTTTAGGAAAGATCAGTTTGATATACATCTATTATATATACTTCATCGTTACCGTTTAAATATTGCACTGCTCTGTGCAATGCTTCGAAAAGATTGCTTTATATCTCAAATTATAAAAGACCTTTTTATCAACACTTCAGTTATGCCGCAGTTTTTATTCTAGATATCGCGTTTGGTTTGTTATTCTTGTTCTCTCCAATAGATAGCAGGTATGAAAAAAATGTAATGGCTACCCATAGATGTACAGAATCACCCAATTTATTACTTAAGAACAAACAACCCTGTCCACATTATGAAAACTTTCCATTGGTCTACAGATGTCGTCTTTAAGTTTTGAATATTGGATATTGGGATGGTAGCGCAGTCTATCGGATCCAATCTAAAACATTCCAAAATTACCTATTAATTACAAATAAAAAATTAGTTTCAAAAAACATTTTCCAGTGGATCAAATTGTGAATCTAAACCTTTATCGAATCTCCTTGAACACACAAAAAAGTTGGTTCAGCCATTTAGGAGCAATTCAATTTCAAACACACGGTCAGAAGATTTATATATATAAAAATAAACATTTAGATATCTAAATTTTCTATTAAATTTTTTTTTTAATATTACAATTAGTTACTCAAATTTAATATAAAAATAAATTTTAGTATGATATATAAAAAAATATTAAGCTAAAAAAGTACTAAAAACTAATTTAATAAGTTTTTTTTTAATTTTTATTCTGGAATATTAAATTTTAATCTTCTAATAATGCATAAATTATCAAATTTAATTTTTCGTTAAATTTTTTTAATTAAAATGCACCAAACGTTTTGTTTTATATGTTTCACATATTTTGTGTTTTTTTTTTACGTCTAACGTTATTCGCTTTAATGTTTGTGTGAAAAGTACTTGAAAAATATTAAAAAATTGAATATCAAAAAAAAATATCTTTTCTAGTAGTTTTTTATACCAATGTATTTACTCATTTATTCTTCTTTACCGAGTTTTACCGACATATTTACATTTTCTTCAAATAAACAACCTTGAGGGACATCACTTTCATCCTCTCTTAATAGCATCCTTAAAATCTATATTTATACATACATACCTACATGTGCCACGATCATTTTGTTCGTGTTTTTGTATTACAGCTCCATTAAAAATATACCCTCAGCGCCGGTGTGCTCATCAACGCCACCCTCATCTCCACGTAATTCCATCAATTTGTTACACAACAACAATGGCAACAATCACATCATCATTCCACATACGCCCTGCTTGCCTGATTTACTCAGCGATGAATAGTAAGTGTTTGTATTTCTAGTTGTTTTTGTACTTACATGTTTTATGTCATACATAAACAGCGGTATGTGGTGCATGTGTGGGAGTAGGAGTGTAATTTCAAGTAATAAAAGTTGAAATCAATTGAATTGTGTATGCTGATTACATCGATTTCTTAAAACTTGTGCTTTTAAGAGACTTTTGAGTTTAATACTAAACAAAAATTAAGTTCAAAATAAAAAATAAAAATTAAAACCTTAAAAACAACAAACTTTAAACAAAATTTCTTGTATATCATAACCACTTTCAACTCTATACCTTTATAGTCACGAGGACGAAGATACTTTGTCGCTGGAGAATCTCTTCCCCTGCGATCAAAGTGAAATTTATGCTTCGAAGAAAATCAGCTTCATTATCGATGAAGTGATACAAACCGAAGCGAATTATGTGAATAACTTGCGAAAGGGTATAAAGAATTACGGTGAATTACATGCGCGCTCGGATGCACCCGAGTCACTCAAAGGCGCTGAAAATCGCAAGCGTTTGCTCGGTAATGTAGAGGAGATTTTGGCGCTACACGAGACACAGATTTTACCGCTAATGCTGCGCAATCAACGGGACTTGAAGTCGCTGTTTGATGAGTTTGCGGCCTACTTTGATGTGAGTATGAATATTTGATTTGAGTTAAGAATTATATTTTAGTTTAAGTGTCGAGATATTTTAGCAAAAATGAAATAACAAAAGTGTTTTCAACAAACTTCCCAGGCACTTAAAAAAATTTACCAGTTAAATAAATATATATGAGAAAAGCAATAAAGAGCGCGGTAAACTATATTTGTTCCACAAATTTCCTATATTCGTTCATTCTCACATAAAAATTTAATGAGTTTTTAATTAAGAGAACAATAAATGTGCAAAAGCGCCGCCAAGTAGTTAGTGTTCAACAGGTGCTAATGCCGCAAATAAATAGCAAGAGGGAATTGACCAGAGATATTATTTTTGCGTTTATTTGCGAAAATGAAATCCAAATATAAAATAACATGGTAGAGAAGTTGACCTTGAAAACTTTTTCCTGATATTTAAAATTTGTTTGAAGTCGATTTTTGAAAACTTTGTTTAACAATTTATGATTAACTAAATCCAATTCACAGGTAGTCATGTTTTAAGTTGTTTTCTATTCACATTGTATACTTGATAATTGGTCTGTAAAATACAAAAGTTAGCAGGATTTTTATACATTGTGTACTTAAGGATATTTGTAAGACTTTATCGTGAATAATGCTACGTTTTTATGTTCAATTTTTAATCGAAGTTAGGTTGGGTTAGGCTATAATTTATGGTTGTCAAGATATACCTAGATCTATTGGTCTTTTGCAATGCCAGATGGAAGTTCATTATTAATATGAGAGGCAGTTTACATCGTGCAGGACCTCAACGATTTTTGCGGAACTTAGTAGAGATAATAGAGATAAATTAGGTATCAAAATTTTGATACTTTATCCAGTCCCCTGAATTGCGGAGCTCTTAGGTAACAAAACCGAGTTACAACTAAGGCTGGATGCAAGCAGAGGAGATGTTGGAACGTTCCTCTCATATTCACTTCCCGGCAAATTCTACAAGTGTCATTAATAATGCCCATAGGGCCCGCATGTGTTGCCAGTAATTTGTGACCTGTGACTAAGCCAACAACCGTCCTGCAGTCTTTTCAAAACCGAATGAGTAAAAGGCTTGTGTTTTTTTCCTTTCCCTCTTTTGAACATAATCTTGGCATTCAGGCGTGCCCCTGAATAATTTAATATCACCCTGACACATCTTTCGGTATTTCTGGAATTGGTTCGGTAGTCAAGCAGACGACACCTCTGGCAAAGTCATCAGCCATTTCGTTTCGCAGAGCGTTCTTGTAGCCTAGAATCTAGTACTCATGTATTCACTTTTCGGCAACAGCTGCCTCCGTGTTTCTAAGGACAGTCTAAGGACTGATTGTCGTTTGGCTATCGGAGTATGTCTCTTCATTCGACGAAAATTTCTTCCCAGCGAGCAATCTTCTGCGATCTGAATACGGGAAATAGTCGCTGGCGACAGATCTGGATAATATGGTAGATGCGAAAGCAATTCGGCTGATTTTTTGCCGTTATTTTAAATTATAGTATGTTGTGGACTTTGACGTTCAACGTCACCGAGGTCTCCTTGGTGGTTGATATTTTACCAAGACGCCGAATTACTTTTACTTCATTTTTTCACAATAACAAAAGTTGCTTCACTCAAAATGATATAAATCGGAAACTAATAATCCGACAGCTGTCACATTTATACCTGCTCTTTTTGAAGGTTAGGCTAACTAAAAATCATCTGGATTTAATTATAGTAGCGCCATTTATGTGTAAGGTCGAGGAGTTTTCAATTAACCTGGATATTATGTTCTTTGTGCAATTTCCTCCGTTGTTAGCTATCTTAACAGCTTCCATGACTGCAAGGAAGATACTGTTGTATGCGGACAGCTTGAAAGGTTGCCTGAGATCCAGGTCCCCGTAATAGATTCCGGGCCCCTCTAAATCAGTCTTGTTTTGATTCGTTCGTGTATAAGATAAGAGCGCCATTGGGTCATCCACCCCTTTTTAGCGTAACCCTTCCAAATAAAGCATGAGAGTACGTGACCTATTTTATCCACTTTTGTCCTGCCTATGTCCGAAGGTTCTTGTGAAAAAATCAGCTACCGCCACCAGTCCTGCAGCTGATTTTGCTGCTGAGATTTCCACTGCAAAGTCAATTGGTGATAGATTGACCAACTTTCAAGTCCAGCCATGGGACTGGTACCATTATACAGATTTTCGCTCCAAGGCTTTCCTGTGGCAAATTTTACTAACAGAGATACACCACACCAAAGCACCATAAAATAAGACTTGCTTGTTTTCTGCTGTGTAATAAGGACAGGTGACATACAAGGACAGGTGATAGGTCCCATGTTGACGCTAACAGCTCTATTGGTACTTTTTTGGGGGAAGAATATTTCCAGTGTATTTTTAATTTGGTTATTATAAGAAGATCTGTATGGAGAAAATATCAAAATAGTAATACAAGATTTATCGTAAGATTTCTCAGTTTTTACAAGCTCTTCTATAACTATTTACCATAATCAAAGGAATGTATAATTAAGTTAATGATACAGTACGATGCTTTAAAATCACTTGATTTTTTTTGCTCAGTTTTACGTCCCACTCTTTATTATTTTAGGATGAATTATTGATTATATTTGATTCGTCGATTTCGTCGAGAAATTAAGATATGAACTTAAGTGCTTAGTAAATCTGATTTATATTCAAGTTTTATCAAAACAATATCTCTGGTATGGTATAAGCTATCTACACGAAGTTTATGGGCTTTCGGAGTAGACATTCATTTAGAGAGCTTTTATCTAAAATAAATATACTCAAAGCGATAAAGCTGGACTTTTCACAAAGAACAAATTTATTTTAGACTCTTTAACCGAACTTACATGTCATCCAAAATGTCCCTAAGACAATCTAACGGGTGTCATTAAAGAACTTTTAACCCAGCTTCCTTCGCTATTTTGACTGTGTTGCGTGGAAATTGTTTGAAACCTGTTAGAATCTACAATCAGTTAAAAAATTCACACCCTTCTTTGCACTGCAAAACTCACCACACCTTAAATGTGCCGAAAAGCCAGCAAATCTGTGGCAATCAATCAAAATAATTTATTCACAACAAAGCTGGCCGAGTGAGCAAACAGAAGCAGCTTAGCTAAAAAAATTGTTTGCATACTAAAGCAAGCACATAGAAGCTGTAATAATTATATATGGAAGGTACTTGGCCAATCTTCTGAAATGAATTATGGCAAGACCACCGATATTATTTGTATAATGCGCAAAATTATAGTATGGATCGGATAAAAGCCTTTCTAAACTGAACTTAAAACTTCATAAGAACTTGTATTTGGCTGAAAAAGACTTTTCTGTAAAATTGTTCGGGCGTCGACCAAACAAACTAGTGAGTGGAGGCCACGCACTTTACCAACTTGAACTTGTGTATGTTTATATGAGCTTTTAATTTATACTTATTTTTATGTGTCGACACGTTTTGCTTTGCCAGAAATATTATGTACAAAAACACTTAATGCGCCTAAAGAATTAGCAGACAGCAAATGTCAATAAGTGACATGAAGCAAAATCCTTGAACTAATCAAAACAAATCGAAGCGGACAAATGCTCACAAAGTTCTTTTAAGCTGGCGGGTTTTCAATTGAAGAATTGAACAGAAAGAAAAAATTTAATTTAAATTGTTAAGCAATCTTTTTCTCATATTTCTTATGCGAAAAATAATAATATAAA